TCCTTTCTAAAATCTAAAATTATTTCCTTTACTCTTTAACTTTTGATGTGTGTATAGATGATTTTTAAAATGATGAGATAAATGATGTAGCTGAGTCTTAACAATACAAAAGCAGCCAAATGGAGGGAAAGCATTACAGATGAACTGATAATATAAGAATTGAAGTGCTTTCTACTGTGCGAATAATATTGGAAGACCATGTTTCCCATTTTGGAACATCTGTTTACAATGAAATCATCACCATAATCTCATGTTTAGATGGCGAATAGAGTCGACAAGCTAATTGCTCCCTCAGAGCTGTCCCTGAACTCCAAACAGGGCCTAAGAGGTTCTTCAAAACTCTCTAGCAAGAGAGTGTTCTAGCCTTGATTGCACAAGCCTCATGAGACATGATGCTGTAAGTGGGCACAGAAGCTCCTTGGCTGCAGCACACTGTTCTGGTCATAAAAGGAAATGCAAGTTCTAGTTATTGTACTTTGGAAAACTGGGGTCATGTTTCCAGGTCTCCAGAACTATTTGAATTTTCATCAGTATCTCACTATCAGCTGTTGCTCCTGACAGACAACACACAGGACTTCCTGACCCTTCGAGAATGCATTTTCCTGAAATCAATAGGAAAATCCAGTGAGCCTATGGAATCACAGAACATCATGGTATATGAGCATAAACAAAGGCCAGAACCTTTGAAGGTCTTCGCTTAGCCATGGGAGGACATGGAGGACTCACTGGAACTGGAGCTGTTCAGACCACTTATAAAAGTAAGCGCCCTCTGCCCTCTCCTCAGAATGTTACTGTGTCTCTCCTTACTTTAAAAATTTTCCTTAGTGGAATGTGTTGACCCATGTTAAACTGGCCCCTATCTTTAGAGATGTTGCTTTTAGCAGCTCTGGTCTCAGCCTGTCTGGAATCTTTATGAGAAATGTAACTATATAGATCAAAAGTTCCTGTGTTGGAGCTGATATCAATACAGAATGTGTGAGAGGAAGAAAATATATGTTGTGTGATTTCTAAAATAAAATAAAATTTCAGTTAAAATCTAAAATTAAAATTGAAAATGAGGACTGGGGAGATGGTTCAGCCAGTAAAGGCACCTTCCTGATCACCTGAATTCAATCCCTGGGCACAATAGAGAGAGAGGTGACACCCATAAATTGTCTTTTGACCAGCACACATGGTATATTCAGATACATGCAAACATACACACACACACACACACATACACACACACACACACACACACACACACACACGCTCACACGCTCACACGCTCACACGCATACACATGCATGCATGCGCGCGCACACACACACACACCCATGCACACATGCACACACACAAAATTTAAAAACAACCTGGCTGAAATGACTGGAGAAGAATGAGACATGAAGTTTTTCTCCACTTTTGTATAAAGTAACCATAAAGAGTCCTCCAGGAAGGGCTTCATTTCCCAGCAATAGAAGAGGCTTTCCCAGGAAGCAGAGGCAGAGAGAGAAAAGATCCTACTAAAGATTATAAGCACAGACATGGAATAAAACAAGAAAAGGGTTTTTCTTGATGTATTTGAATGTCAACTTTCTATCTGCAGATGTGATTTCTGATGGAAATAACAACTTACAAATAAATATTTTCAAAAAGAATCAAGTTTTATGAATGACTCACCAGTCTTTGGAACACAGTGAGTATCCACTAGATGGTGTGTGCCTGTGTGTGCAATGCCATTGTTACTGTCATTACTAACGGAGTAGTGAGTGGAAAGGCTCTTCGTCTCCTAAGGTGCCTACTCTGCTTTTTACTTACATGACCCACTCCCTTGGTTCTGTTCCTTGACTTTATTTAGCACAGGCTACTGTATTTTCCATTTCAACACAATAGCTTACCTTTTATATGTAGTTGCTTTTACCCCCCACCCCATTTATTTTGGGTTAAAGCTTGAGTTGCCCTAATTCCATCTAGAACAGATAAAGGCTGAAAAGAACTGGCACAGCAGCTTCTGTCAGAGTTGGGGACCTCTCTCAGCACACTAGCTCTCAAGTCTGCAGTGATATAATCTAAGGCGGATGTGATGTAAATCCACTTAATCATTTTATATCATAAAAATAAGAAATCATTAGAGAGGCAGGAATAGTCTTCCCCAAGGAAGAACACAGACATAGGTTATCTAATACCAAATGGTTAGCTCTGAAAACACATACAAGTAACATTATAAAGACTGAGCAGGTTGTATTTAGGGAATATCTGTGTATAGACGTACATGCATGTAATGATGAAAAAAGATGCTAGAATTTGAATTAGAGGAATAAGTTTAAGGGAGGGTTTTTGAGGGGAAAAGGGGAAGGGGGAAATGATGTAATTATATATAATCTCAAAAAATAAAGAAAGTAATAAAAAAATTGCTAACAGTGACGACACTGACTACCAAGCTTGACCTTTGGATAGGATGAATATAAAGTAAGACAGAAAAATATCCCATGCACTCTATTTAATTATTCTGTCTTGGATAGCAATTCAATAATTTCCATTTAAAAATGGATAAGGGTTTGGACATGGTGATGTTTTCCTTTAATCTCAGCACTCAAGAGATGAGAGCAGAAGGATCTCTGTGAGCCTGAGACTAAACTTATCTATATAAGAGTCAGGCCATCCAGGGTCACCCAGGGAGATCTTGCCTCAAGAATATAGATAATAACAAAATTCTTTTACATATCTAACATGAAACAATTAGAAAAGCCAGTGAATATTCTGTCCTATATTTCTACCATCTTTCTCTAAAGATAGTAAACAACATTGTGTGGACATCTGCGTTAAGGATCCAGCACATTACAATCCAATAATAGAATTTTAAAAGATTATTTTACAAGATGACCTGAGCCCTGAGACCATATGAATTGCCAGTGAGTTGATAGAGACTGTGTCTGACATATAATAGTCATGCAAAACAATTGGTTTAATAAATTAGAAACATAGGTGCCTTGGGATTCTATTTCTATTTATAGTTTACACATATTAAATAGATCTACTGAGCTTTTATATGTGAATTTGTCAATACCATTTAATTGTTACTTAGCTGGGCTCTTGTTTAGCATTATTTTATTTTTCTTGAAAAGTCAAAGACCCAAGTTAGTAAAAAAATTGTTTGTATATAAGTGTAGAAAACCAGTGTTAATGGAAGATACGTAAGAGCTAAATTATGCTCCACCCAGGGCATAGAGTCCCCTTCATAAGTTCTTGCTGTCATCGACAAAAGGAAATAGGAATGGAAACTGAGGAGAACTTTTTAGGCCATTTATTGGAGAGAGAGAGAGAGAGAGAGAGAGAGAGAGAGAGAGAGAGAGAGAGAGAGAGAGAGAGAAACTGATTATTTGTGGCAAGGGAATCAAAGAAGGGTTAATAAAAAGTCCCACATTTCATTAAAGGAGAATTAAAGGAAAAAGAAACCCAATAAAAAGGCAAGGTGAACAGACCAGGAGGGTAAGAACTGGGTGCTCAAAACCTTTTTTCTTTATGATTTTATTATAGGAGGTACAAAATTGCCTTCTTCCCAGGTTGGCATGGGCCTTGGTCAGGAAAGCAGTACTCATCCTTCTGGGTTACCTGAGAGAAATATTGAACATTACTATTCTCAAAGTTTGAGTTTGTAGTTAGCCTTGAGCTATTTTGTGTGGCCCAGAACTCAGGAAGTGCATATGATAGGAAGGAATAACTATATTTGTTGCTGTCAGTTTTTCTTTTATCTCTGCTTTCTTTGGGTCAGGAAGGAATAACTAATTATATTTTCTGTTATCAGTTTATACTTTAGATTTGTGGCCACTGGACAGTCCCTACCGTAGGCTCATCTTTTAACTTTGCAATAAATTATTAGCCACATATGGATATTTAATTCTTATTTAAAGGCTAATGCATGAAAATGAGTTACAAGCAGCTTGGGGATTTTTAGATGTTGTGTTAGAAATCCCTTTCCTTTTGAATTTTGTATTTCTAATATCTTTAAAGGAGATCAACAATGAATACCTTCTTTAATACAAGAGAGATCATACCTCAGAGGAGACCCCTCTTGTCTGGTCTATATGTGAGAGGCAGCCACTCACAATATTTGTAAAGAGAGTTTCTGACCATCAAGCATGCCACTTATAAAGGGTATTATACCTGAACACAAAAATAACAGAGATAAAGAATAAACTGACAGCAATAAATATAGCTACTCTTTCCTATCATATATACTTTTTTGAGCTCTGGGCCACACAAAATAGCTCAAGGCTGACTACAAACTCAGTACCATAGTGTTACTGACCACTGATCATGCCAATTGTTTAGAGGCAGTTGATGTATTGATGATAATATACCTCAAAAGATGCTTGGGAAGCATCACCAAGGAGGCTCCTTTCATTCCCTTTTGTCTTCCCTAGCATTTCTAGAAGTTGTAGCTTCGTAAAGTTAAGAAAGACCTTACCTTAGCGTTTGGTAATAGTTTTGCTGGGAACTTTCAGACAGTTTATAAACTTTATTGTTATATAAGAACACATTTAGTAAGTATGTCTTACACTTTGTAGATGACTATGAAACACATTGTATAAATTATCTCAATTTGTCATGATTTCTCATACAATATTTTCTTACTGCTTTGCAGAGTATAATGAAGAGTGACAGCTGGTCATTTAAATATATTATCAAGATTCAACAAACATGTTCTCAGAATACAAACTCATGTACAGCAGTGTCTAATGAGAATATTTGACTAGGTCTTTTAACTTCTGCCCTTGGAACAGAAGACAACCATTTATATTCATGAAGTTTCTTTTCTAAAATCTGAGTAGACAAACTCTCAAATATGAATTTATAGTAACTGGTACTTTTACTGAGATCTTGTTTTTGCACATCCATAGAAAGCCATTTGCTGCTACTCAAATCGTACTCAAAGTACTCATGAGAAACAGCTTCTTAATAGATATCGATGACCAGATTGCTGACTTTTAATCTTTGCAAGGTCAAACATTCTCGAAGCTATGAAGAACCTTTCAGTAGTGACTCAATTTATCCTGCTTGGCATCCCGCACACAGAGGGTCTGGAGACCACGCTCTTTGTCCTGTTTTTGTCTTTCTACATCTTCACTTTAGTGGGAAACCTGCTCATTCTCCTCGCAATTATTTCCTCCACTCGGCTTCACACCCCCATGTATTTCTTCCTGGGCCAGCTGTCCGTGTGTGACATATTTTTCCCTTCCGTGAGTTCTCCCAAGATGCTGTTCTATCTCTCAGGAAACAGCAGAGACATCTCCTATGCAGGCTGTGTGACCCAGCTCTTCTTCTACCATTTCCTGGGTGGTACAGAATGTTTCCTATACACAGTGATGGCCTATGACCGCTTTGTTGCCATATGCTACCCTCTACGCTACTCAATCATCATGAGCCATAGAGTATGTGCCTTTCTGGCTATGGGGACATCAGTTTTTGGCTGCATTCATTCCACATTTCTAACTTCTCTTACCTTCCAGTTGCCCTATTGTGGTCCCAAAGAGGTGAACTATTATTTCTGTGATATCCCTGTGGTGATGAAGCTGGCCTGTGCAGACACATCAACCCTGGAGATGGTGGGCTTCATCAGTGTGGGCCTCATGCCCCTCAGTTGCTTCTTCTTCATTCTCACCTCCTACAGCTGTATAGTTCGCTCCATCCTCCAGATCCGCTCCACTGAGGGCCGACACAGAGCCTTCTCCACCTGCAGTGCCCACCTCACTGCTATCTTGCTCTTTTACATGCCAGTGATTTTCATCTATCTAAGGCCAACACCAAGCCCTTGGCTGGATGCAACTGTTCAGGTCCTGAACAACCTGGTCACCCCTATGCTAAACCCATTAATCTACAGCCTCAGGAATAAGGAGGTAAAATCATCACTGTGGACTGTCCTGCGTCCACTGTGCTTCCTACCTGGACAGTTGTAAAGAAAGATCAGTAGTGAATACTTAGGTACCCTTCAGCTTAATGGAATAGATTTAATGAATACTCAAAACTACTTTGTATTTGAGAGCATTGTTATTACTATCTTAAATTTGCACTGTTACTGACTAAGACACAAAGACTCGGCATCTAGAGAGCAAATGGTAAATGGAACCTCCAGGGCCACTTGTCTGACTCACACCCACCTGTATCCTCAAGTGAAGAGCGAAGGCAGGTGAGAGTGGAGCAGTCCTCCCATAGGCAGAACAATGTGAGCCTGCTGATTGTCCACCACTCTTTCATCCTGCTTTCTTTTCATCATTTTTTGCACTGTGGTCAGACTCAGTGCTTCTAATTCCTTATTTTTATTGTCCTATCTCATGCCTCTTCCCCTTCTTTTTCTTCTCCCTAGTGCTTTTTCATATTTGATGGAATGATATTCCCATAAAATATCTGCATTAACTATTTAATCAATTTATTCACTTAAGGGTTACTGAAGTTTGAGAGAAGTGGTCTTTATTTTTCAATGATTTAGTTGCATTGAACCAAAATGATATCACATAAAGAACGGGGCTTGAGAGAATGATTGAGTAGGCCTTATGGTTGAATTCAAGGCACCACTGGACAATATCACTTACATTTTTTCCCTTTTCAGCTTATACCTACTCAGACATGGGGGTTGACTTTGGTTTACCTTCCAGCAGTTTTTTGATTTTGTTTCCAGCTAAAATGAACTACAAATGAGAAATCTGCTCTTCAATTTAACAAGCTACTATTTTCATGACTGAAATTGTTAGCAACTTGATTACATGCAGTGGGACTAAAGCAGCTGTGTTGCTCATTCTAACAATGGCAAAGAAGAGAGAAAAGCACTGGGAAGAGGTGACAGAAGACAAAGGAGCACAGGGGACAGTTCTCTTCTGCACGCTCCTGTCAGAACCAGAGGACAGTCACAGAACCCACCAGACTAATCTAGCAACCCTATGGCTACTTGAAGACACTGAAGTTCCTTTGGCAAGAGTTCCTGGAAGGTAGACCAGCTTTTGCCTGGTCACTGATCTTAAGCTCCTTAACACTCTCTTTTAATGCTTTTTTCAAATACATAAGAGCCTAAAGTGGTTTCTAGAAATCTAGTCTTATTTGTTTAGTCCATGTCAAGCCATCCTCAATGCTCTCAAGATCTGTGCTTCTATTTCTCCAGTGTATGGAGAATCTGCTCTTCCATATTTCTATTGTCTAGCCTGTAGCTGCTCAGACAATCACAACATTCTTTAAGAATAAAGATGGGGTCCTGCTCATTTTTTTTAAAAAAGTAAACTCAGGCAGATGACATTTGATGAGCAACTTCGTGCTTGACTAGAGAATGAAAAGAAGTCCTAGTGTCTGATAACTGTGGGGCCTATTACAAAAAACAATCAGCTAAGGAAATCATGAGAGTAGGCCTGCAATGATGCTGTGGTCAAGGATGAAAGAAAGCATAAAGCATACAGAAGACTTTTCTGAGTCCAAGAGTGGATCTCACCCAAAAGAAGTTGAAGAATAAAGGTGCTGTGTTTATGTGTTGGTTTGTTGTAAGTAAAAAATGGCTAAGGAGTATGTTCCAGGGAGATGCAGCTTCTGCATGACCTTGGATTCCTGCCAGTTGGCTGAGGAGGAACCCGAGAATCTTCTTATTATACCTTATCAAAGTTATCTCTCCTTACATTATTTATTATTTTTCCTTCCTATATCATTCATGTTCAAGTTTTGTTTGTTCAAGTTTCTCAGCCTGAATGTACAATGAAAACTCCTTGCTTTAAGTTGGAGTGGCCCTCACAAGTTTCCTGTGAGAGCTCTGAGAGCATTAGAGCCAACAGAGCTAAGCAGTGGAATTGAGAATTACAGGCATTCACCTGTGTGTTAATACCTCTTATTACAAATGAGCTGAGGTCTAATGCATAAACAACAACATAATAACCACCTGATTTGAACAGCTCACATTGTCCCTGCTAAGTTATTGCCCAGAATCATTTCCCTTACAACTTTCTGGTTCTGATCAACAGGGTCTCTCTTGGTTCCACACTGAGACATGAATTTTATTCTCTTGAAAAGATACCCTTTATTTTCATTTTAATTATTTTTCAAAATAATCATGCATACTAATGGCTTATATGGTTAATGGATAGTAACTTTTTTAACTTAAATAAAACTATGATCAAATTCTGGAAGGTACACTAGAACAATGACATTTGGGAATGTATGGGATTTCGCTGTCCACCAACTTCAACAGAGGTAACCCATTTCTGACACTCAGATTTTTTTTTTTTTTTTGGTTTTGCGAGACAAGGTTTCTCTGTACCTTTGGAGCCTGTCCTGGACTAGCTCTGTAGACCAGGCTGGCCTCAAACTCACAGAGATCCACCTGCCTCTGCCTCCCTAGTGCTGGGATTACAGGCATGTGCCACCACCGCCTGGCTTCAGATTTTTATTTGATAGTCCATGTGACTAGTGGATAACTCTACTTAAGCTCTTTTATCATATTAATGTGTTCTGAAGCAGATCTTCATATGAATTTTTCAGAAGATCTTTAGCATTAGCAAACCCTTCATGCATTCCCTCTTCTATCCTGTAAATCCTGCCCCCACACTATTTAATCTTTCTTGCTCCATTATCCCCCCTTTCCCTTTATACCACTGCATTCTTTTTTCTCTCCCTTGAAAGTCCCAGCTCATAGCCCCTTACTAATTTCCTGGCATACATTATCCATACACATCTGAAGATTCAAAGCTCACATGCTTTGAATAGATGAGAGAAAACACAGCAGTCTTCTTTCTGTGTTGGCTGCCTCACACAGAATGATGATGACCAGCTCTTTCCATTTAACTATTAATTTTATAATTTTTAAATATTTGAATAATATTTCATTGTTTTGAATGTACCATATTTTATTATCCGTTATTCATCTAGTGATGGAAATCTAGGCTGTTTCTGTTTCTTGCTACTGTGAATGGCTCTGCAATGAACATGGATGAGCGAGTGTCTCTGTAGTAGCACGAGGATGCTATCAGTGGCTCCTGTGGTAGATCTATTTCTAGCTTTTGAGGAACCTCCACACTGGCTGCCATAGTGGCTGCAGTGGAGAAGTGCTCCTCTTCCTTCACAGCTACATCTGCCTTTGTCATCATTTTGTTGTTGTTTTGGGATTTTTGCTGTTGTTTTGTTTCATTGATTATATCTTACCCCATTCTTACTGGGTTAAGATAAAATCATTGCAAAGTAGTTCAAGATTGCATTTCCCTGATGACTAAGGATGGTGAGTATTTTTAAAAATAATTCTCACTCATCTGTATTTCATCCTTTGGGACTGCTCTGTAGAATGCTATGCCTCATTATTTAGTTAGTTTCTTTTGGTTTTCATTTGTTTTATTGATGTTTAGGGTTTGTTCTGTATTTTAGTTCTTTGTATGTTCTTGGTACTAATCCTCTCTCAGATGTACAATTGCCAAAGTGCCCCCCCTTTGCCTGTGCTGGCTAGTTTTTATGTCAACTTCAACACAAGCTAGAGTCATTTGAGGGAAGAGAACCACAATTGAGAAAAATGCCTTCATAAGATAGGGTGAGCATATAGGGCATGTTCTTAATTAGTGGTTGATGTATGAGGGCCCAGCCAGTTGTGGTTGCTTTCACCCCTGGGGTGGTGATTCTGGGTGCTACAAAAGGCGGAAAGCAGCACTCCTCCGTGACCTCTGCATCAGCTCTGCAACCAGGTTCCTGCTCTGTTTGAGTTCCTGTCCTGACTGTCCTTGATTTTGAACTATGGTATGGGAGTATAAGTGAAATAAATCCTTTCCTCCAGAACATTCTTTTGGTCATTGTGTTTCATTACAGCAATGGAACCCAAACTAAGACACTGCCTATTAACTTGAATGATGGTGTCCTTTGTTTTACAGAAGCTTTTTAGTTTTGTGTGGTCCCATTTGACACATGTTGGTCTTAATGCCTGTGCTGCTAGGGTCCTGTTCAGAAAGTCCTTTGCTGTGCCTGTAAGTTCAAACATATTCTCTACTTTCTCCTTTATCAGTTCAGAATATCAGATCATAGGTTCAAGTTCTTGATCCATTTAGAGATGAGTTTGTGCAGGGTGGGAGACTTGATAGAGTTTCATTCTTCTATATGTAGCTATCCAGTTTGACCAGAACCATTTTTTGAAGCTGTCTTTTCCCAAATATGTTGCTGGCCTCTTATAAAAAAACCCAGGGGGCTCTAGGAGTTTGGCCTCTATGTGGGTTCTCAATCCTGTTCCATTGGTTATTGTGGATCTTTTCTGAGAAACAGGCCTGCGCCTCTTTAAGAAAAGCTTTCTTTAACACCGTTTCACCTCTAATGGTGATTACAAACTCAAGGAGCAGTAACTCGGGTAACCAAAGGCCCCCGTGTTACCCAGCATTTGCCTCTTCTGATCCAGGCTCTTTTCTTTTTTTTTTTTTTTTTTTTTTTTTTTATTAATTTATTTTGCAATACAATTCAGTTCTACATATCAGTCACGGATTCCCTTGTTCTCCCCCCTCCCGTCCCCCTCACCTTCCCCCCAACCCCCCCCCCATTCCCATCTCCTCCAGGGCAAAGCCTTCCCCACAGACTGAGGTCAACCTGGTAGACTCAGTCCAGGTAGGTCTAGTCCCCTCCTCCCAGGCCGAGCCAAACAATCCTGCATAGGCCCCAGGTTTCAAACAGCCAACTCATGCAATGAGCACAAGATCTGGTCCCACTGCCTGGGTGCCTCCCAAACAGATCAAGCCAATCAACTGTCTCATCCATTCAGAGGGCCTGATCCAGTGGGGACCCCTCAGCCATTGGTTCATAGTTCATGTGTTTCCATTCATTTGGCTATTTGTCCCTGTGCTTTATCCAACCTTGGTCTCAACAATTCTCGCTCATATAAACCCTCCTCATTCTCGCTAATTGGACTCCCAGAGATCCACCCGGGGCCTAGTCATGGATCTCTGCATCCAGATCCCTCAGTAGTTGGATGAGGTTTCTAGCACAACAATTAGGGTGTTTGGCCATCCCATCACCAGAGTAGGTCAGTTCAGGCTGTCTCTTGACCTCTGCCAGCAGTCTGTTGTGTGGGTATCTTTGTGGATTTCTGTGGGCCTCTCTAGCACTTTGCTTCTTCCTATTCTCATGTGGTCTTTATTTACCATGGTCTCCTATTCCTTGTTCTCCCTCTCTGTTGTTGATCCAGCTGGGATCTCCCGCTCCCCCAAGCTCTCTTTCCCTCAACCCTCGCCTTTCATTACCCCCACTCATGTCCAGGCTGTTCATGTAGATCTCATTCCATTTCTCTGTCATTGGGTGATCCCTGTGTCTTTCTTGGGGTCCTGTTTTCCAGGTAGCCTCCCTGGTGATGTGAGTAGCAGACAAGTCATCCTTGTTTCATGTCTAGTATCCTGCTATGAGTGAGTACATACCATGTTTGTCTTTCTGAGTCTGGGTTACCTCACTCAGGATGATTTTTTCTAGATCCATCCATTTGTCTGCAAACCTCATGATGTCATTGTTTTTCTCTGCTGAGTAGTATTCCATTGTGTATATGTACCACATTTTGTTTATCCATTCTTCAGTTGAAGGGCATCTGGGTTGTTTCCATGTTCTGGCTATTACAAACAATGCTGATATGAACATAACTGAACAAGTGCTCTTATGGTGTGGTTGAGCATTTCTTGGGTATATGCCCAAGAGTGGTATAGCTGGATCTTGGGGGAGATTGATTCCCAATTTTCTAAGAAAGCGCCATATTGATTTCCAAAGTGGTTGTACAAGCTTGCATTCCCACCAGCAGTGGAGGAGAGTTCCCCTAGCTCCACATCCTCTCCAGCATAAGGTGTCTTCAGTGTTTTTGATCTTAGCCATTCTGACAGGCGTAAGGTGGTATCTCAGAGTTGTTTTGATTTGCATTTCCCTGATGATTAGGGATGTTGAGCAGTTCCTTAAATGTCTTTCGGCCATTTGAGTTTCCTCTGTTGAGAATTCTCTGTTAAGTTCTATAGCCCATTTCTTAATTGGACTGTTGGGCATTTTGATGTCTAATTTCTTGAATTCCCTATATATTCTGGATATCAGTCCTCTGTCAGATGTGGGGTTGGTGAAGATCTTTTCCCATTCTGTAGGCTGTCGCTTTGCCTTGTTGACCGTATCCTTTGCTCTACAAAAGCTTCTCAGTTTCAAGAGGTCCCATTGATTGATTGTTTGTCTCAGAGTCTGTGCTACTGGTGTTCTATTTAGGAAGTAGTCTCCTATGCCAATGCGTTCAAGACTACTTCCTACTTTCTCTTCTAGCAGGTTCAGAGTAGCTGGATTTATGTTGAGGTCCTTGATCCACTTGGACTTAAGTTTTGTGCACGGTGATAGATATGGATCTATTTGCAGCCTTCTACATGTTGATATCCAGTTTTGCCAGCACCATTTGTTGAAGATGCTTTCTTTTTTCCATTGTGCGCTTTTGGCTTCTTTGTCAAAAATTATATGTTCATAGGTGTGCGGATTAATGTCAGGGTCTTCAATTCGATTCCATTGGTCCACATGTCGGTTTTTATGCCAGTACCAAGCTGTTTTTATTACTGTAGCTCTATAGTAGAGCTTGAAGTCAGGGATCGTGATGCCTCCAGAAGTTGTGTTATTGTACAGGATTCCTTTGGCTATCCTGGGTTTTTTGTTTTTCCATATGAAGTTGAGTATTATTTTTTCCAGGTCTGTGAAGAATTGTGTTGGTATTTTGATGGGGATTGCATTGAATCTGTAGATTGCTTTTGGTAAGATTGCCATTTTCACTATGTTAGTCCTGCCTATCCATGAGCATGGGAGATCTTTCCATTTTCTGACATCTTCTTCAATTTCTTTTTTCAGGGACTTAAAGTTCTTGTCATATAGGTCCTTCACTTGCTTGGTTAGTGTTACCCCAAGGTATTTTATGTCGTTTGTGGCTATAGTAAAGGGTGATGTATCTCTGATTTCCTTCTCCGCTTCTTTGTCCATTGTATATAGGAGGGCTACTGATTTTTTTGAGTTGATCTTGTATCCTGCTATGTTGCTGAAGGTGTGTATAAGCTGTATCAGTTCCTTGGTGGAATCTTTGGGGTCGCTCAAGTATACTATCATGTCATCTGCAAATAGGGAAAGCTTGACTTCTTCCTTTCCAATTTGTATCCCCTTAATCTCCTTATGTTGTCTTATTGCTCTGGCTAGAACTTCAAGTACTATATTGAATAAGTATGGGGAGAGTGGACAGCCTTGCCTCGTTCCTGATTTTAGTGGAATTGCTTTGAGTTTCTCTCCATTTAATTTGATGTTGGCTGTTGGCTTGCTGTAAATTGCCTTTATTATGTTTAGGTATGTTCCCTGTATTCCTGATCGCTCCAATACCTTTATCATGAAGGGGTGTTGGATTTTGTCAAATGCCTTTTCTGCATCCAGTGAGATGATCATATGGTTTTTTTCTTTGAGTTTGTTTATATGGTGTATTACATTGACGGACTTTCGTATGTTGAACCACCCTTGCATCCCTGGAATGAATCCTACTTGATCATGGTGGATAATTGTTTTGATGTGTTCTTGGAGTCTGTTTGCCAGTATTTTATTGAGTATTTTTGCATCAATGTTCATGAGGGAGATCGGTCTGTAGTTCTCTTTCTTTGTTGTATCCTTGTTTGGTTTAGGAATTAGGGTAATTGTAGCCTCGTAGAAGGAGTTTGGTAATGTTCCTTCTGTTTCTATTGTGTGGAACAATTTAGAGAGTATTGGTATTAACTCTTCTTTGAAGATCTGGTAGAATTCTGCGCTGAAACCATCTGGTCCTGGGCTTTTTTTGGTTGGGAGACTTTTAATGACTGTTTCTATTTCGTTAGGGGTTATTGGACTATTTAAATAGTTTATCTGGTCTTGATTTAACTTAGGTATGTGGTACCTATCCAGAAAGTTATCCATTTCTTTTAGGTTTTCCAGTTTTGTCGAATAGAGGTTTTTGAAGTATGACCTGATGATTCTCTGGATTTCCTCAATGTCTGTTGTTATGTCCCCCTTTTCATTTCTGATTTTGTTGATTTGGATGCTCTCTCTCTGTCTTTTGGTTAGTTTGGATAAGGGCTTGTCTATCTTGTTGATTTTCTCAAAGAACCAACTCTTTGTTTCATTAATTTTTTGTATTGTTCTCTTTGTTTCTATTTTATTGATTTCAGCTCTCACTTTGATAATTTCCTGGCGTCTATTTTTCCTGGGAGACTGTGCTTCTTCTTGTTCTAGAGCTTTCAGGTATGCTGTTAAGTCTCTAGTGTGAGATTTCTCCAACTTATTTATGTGGGCATTTAGTGCTATGAATTTCCCTCTTAGTACTGCTTTCATAGTGTCCCATAAATTTGGATATGTGGTGTCTTCATTTTCATTGATCTCTAGGAAGTCTTTAATTTCTTTCTTTATTTCTTCCATAACCCATTGGTGATTCAGTTGGGTATTATTCAGTTTCCATGAGATTGCAGGTTTTCTGTAGTTTTTGTTGTTGTTGAAATCCAACTTTAGACCATGGTGGTCTGATAGAACACAGGAGGTTATTCCAATTCTTTTGTATCTGTTTAGATTTGTTTTGTGGCCAAGTATGTGGTCAATTTTAGAGAAGGTTCCATGGGGTGCTGAGAAGAAGGTATATTCTTTTTTGTTAGGATGGAATGTTCTGTAGATATCGATTAAGTCCATTTGAGTCATGACATCAGTTAAGTCCTTTATTTCTCTGTTAAGTTTCAATTTGGGAGATCTGTCCAGTGGTGAAAGTGGGGTGTTGAGGTCTCCCACTATTAACGTGTGGGGTTTTATATGTGATTTAAGCTTTAGTAATGTTTCTTTTACATATGTGGGTGCCCTTGTGTTTGGGGCATAAATATTCAGAATTGAGACTTCATCTTGGTGGATCTTTCCTGTGATGAGTATGTAATGCCCTTCTTGATCTCTTTTGATTGATTTTAGTTTGAAGTCTATTTTGCTGGATATCAGGATGGCTACACCCGCTTGTTTCTTAAGACCGTTTGATTGGAAAGTCTTTTCCCAGCCTTTTATTTTTAGGTAGTGTCTATCTTTGAATTTGAGATGTGTTTCTTGTATGCAGCAGAAAGATGGGTCCTGCTTTCGTATCCATTCTGTAAGCCTATGTCTTTTTATAGGTGAATTAAGTCCATTGATATTGAGGGAAATTAATGACCAGTGATTGTTCATTCCTGTTATTTTTTGGTGGTGATGTGTGGGTACTTCTATATGTTGGGGTTTACTGCTGTGGCTTTATCTGTTGCCTGTGTTTTCGAGGGTGTATCTGACTTCCTTAGGTTGGAATTTTCCTTCTAGTGCTTTCTGTAGGGCTGGGTTTGTGGATAAGTATTGTTTAAATCTGGCTTTGTCATGGAATGTCTTGTTTACTCCATCTATGGTGATTGAAAGTTTTGCTGGGTATATTAGTCTAGGTTGACATCCATGGTCTCTTAGTGTCTGCATTACATCTGTCCAGGTTCTTCTGGCTTTCAAAGTCTCCATTGAGAAATCGGGTGTTATTCTGATGGGTTTGCCTTTATATGTCACTTGGCCTTTGTCCTTTGCTGCTCTTAATATTCTTTCTTTATTCTGTACGTTTAGTTGTTTAACTATTATGTGGCGAGGGGACTTTTTTTGGGGGTCTAGTCTGTTTGGTGTTCTATAAGCTTCTTGTATCTTCATAGGCATTTCCTTCTTTAAGTTGGGAAAGTTTTCTTCTATGATCTTGTTGAATATATTTTCTGTGCCCTTGAGTTGGTATTCTTCTCCTTCTTCGACCCCTATTATTCTTAGGTTTGGTCTTTTCATGGTGTCCCAAATTTCTTGGACATTTTGGTTCATGACTTTGTTGGTTTTAGTGTTTTCTTTGACTGATGAATGTATTTCTTCTACTGTATCTTCAACGCTAGAGATCCTCTCTTCCATCTCTTGCATTCTGTTGATTATACTTGCATCTGAAGTTCCCAATCGTTTTCTCAGATTTTCTATTTCCAGCATTCCCTCTGTTTGTGTCTTCTTCATTTTTTCTATTTCCCTTTTCAGGTCTTGGACTGTTTCCTTCATTTGTTTCATTGATTTTTCTTGATTTTCTCTCAGTATTTTATTGTTTTCTTCCAGGACTTTATTGATTTCTTCTAATTTGTTTGCCCTTTCCTCTAGTTGTTTACAGCGTTCTTCACATTTTTTTGTCTTTTCCTCTACGCAAGCCTCTAGCTTCTTCATGATGTCATTCATAAGGCTGTTTTCTTCTGCTTCTTCCAATTTCTGATGTTCAGGTCTAGGTGTTGGAGGAGGGCTAGGGCCTGGTGATGCTGTATTGCTATTGATTTTGTTGTATATGTTTCTGCCTTGACGTCTGCCCATCTCCTTGTGGTTCGTTCTTGGCCTTATCCGCACACTTGGTTCAGACAGACCAGTGTTCCAAAAGGGAAGTCAGTGTTCCAAAAGGGAAGTCCGGAGCAAGATGGGAGCTGGGGGCCGGCCTCTAAGTCTCAGGAAGAGGCTTGGGGCTCAGGCGGATGGGCCTGGGGGCAGGGCGTGGAGACTGCAGGGTCTGCCAGGGGTCTTGGAGAAGGGGATCCTTCCCGGTGGGGCTAGCAGGGAACCTGCCCGGTGGCCAGAACCTGGGGCCGAGTTGGGCAGGTCTTCCCTGGAGTGGCTGGTGCCCAGGGATGGGGTCTGGGGCAAGGAAGGGTACTCACGATTGTTCCAAAAGGGACGTCCGGAGCAAGATGGGAGCTGGGGGCCGGCCTCTAAGTCTCAGGAAGAGGCTTGGGGCTCAGGCGGATGGGCGTGGGGGCAGGGCGTGGAGACTGCAGGGTCTGCCAGGGGTCTTGGAGAAGGGGATCCTTCCCGGTGGGGCAAGCAGGGAACCTGCCCGGTGGCCAGAACCTGGGGCCAAGTTGGGCAGGTCTTCCCTGGAGTGGCTGGTGCCCAGGGATGGGGTCTGGG